ATTAAACATGCATTTGTTAAAGCAGATTTAATTTCAGAAATCTTGACAAGATCATTTGAAATTAAATTAAACCAATAAGAAATGCATTGAATATTTATAATTTGTGAATAGGTATTATTAATTATTTGTCATGCTACTCGAATATTTGATCCATTATCAGATACTATAGCAGAGAATTTTGAAGATCCAATTTTTTCTATAATTGAGCTAATTTTATCTGCAAGATAAATACCCGTTTGAGAATCTAATGAATAATCTTAAATGACAATTAGATATTCTTTCCGATCAGGTGTTGAAATAATATAATTATATAATGAGTCATTAAGCGGACTTATCCAACCATCAATTGCCAATGTTAAATATTGTTGAGTTGCAAGAGATTTATTAAGATTAACAGTAATAATTGCAAGCTCTTCATTTAATAACCAATTAGCTAATATATCTCTATGAGGTAGAGTAAAAAAAGGGTTATCAATAACAGCCCAAGGTATACCACAACAAATAAAAGCTTTGATTAAAGCTTGATTTATTTCTCTTCTATAATCTTCACTAACAGATTTTACTAATTGAGGTAGTTGCTTGTGAGTATTCTTTATTTTTCTTTTTTTTCGATCTGAATTAATAAAAGCATCATCTTCACTATCATCATCTAATGCAAGTTTTTTGACTCTTTTAGCAACTTCATGAAGATAAAAAGTAACTATATAATTAGATGTTTTATTACAATGTAATGCTAAATGACTTTCCATTATTAATAGTTTTTCTCATGACCAAGATTGTCCACAATAAAGACAAATTGCATCACAATGTCCATATTTGTTAGATGTAGTTTTTTTGAAGTTATCCCAAATTGATAATAATGGACATTCACTTTTTTTAGATCTATTTTTTTTAGAAGTATTGTTTTGAATATTTGTAAGTTGATTATTTATTGAAGTCTCTGTAGAATCCATTGATATTAATATAAAAAGTAGAATAAAATCAAAAAATAACACAATATAGAAAAAATTAATAATTTATATTGGTATTAAACTTTTATTAAACTATACTGAAATTATATCATATTTGCATAATTGGATTAAAATTTTGCATATATTTTAGAAATTTGCATATGATTTAAGATTTTGTTATATACTTTTAATTTCGGCATATGTTTGGAATTTCGACATATGTTTGAGATTTTGACATATAATTAAGATTTTATCATATATTTAAAATTTCAGCATATGTTTGGAATTTTGGCAAATGTTTGGAATTTCATCATATATTTGGAATTTGTGAGTTTATTTGGGATTTGGCAAATGTTTCAATCCAAATCTCAAACTGCCATAATGCTAATATTTGTTATAAATACTTTGGGTCACATCACTAAAGGTGACCCCCAAAAGTGCAGGTCAGATAATCCATGCTACAGCCACCATAGTACTTTCAGAACATGTAATTGTCTCATTAGTGACTCCTGTAACTATTATATTACAATCTTGTAAGAGTTCATAACACAAGTCTTTAATTACTTTCTTATATCAATATATATATTAGCATTTATAAGGTGAAGTAAAAGAAGTTGATCACAATTCTTCATAGTATATACTGTATTTTCACGAATTTAAACTTTATTAATGCTTACTCAAAGTTACAAGTAATAGGTCTACTTAAGTTTAAAGTGGTATACATTTTATGCAATTTTAAATTAATGAGAGCACTTTATAAAAAAGCTCTATTATTTTTATTGGCATATGTTATCTATTTGAGTATTTAAATTATATTTATTATTTGTGCTTGATTAGTTATTGGTTAAAAATATATAAATTACTAATTTTTCAAAATTTTATTTACAATCCTTTTACAAAAATTACTTATTAATAACCAATAAATCTATTATATCATTAATTGTTGTACTTTTATCTGGGCATGGCAAGTACATCAAATATTGTTTTGTAAAAGCTGGCACCCAAGTTGCCTGTCGATGTCTTTTTTGTTTTACTGATTGTATTTCTTCTTCTATTGATGCTAATTAGTACCATTTTATCATAGCACAAAGATGGTACTAATTATTAGTCAATAGTTCAGCATGCATTTGCTTCATTGCCTGTTCAATTAAAGGTTAAGTCATTTTAACATAAGAACAAGCATCTTCTTTAGGATCCTCATCAACATCAACAATATTTTCGAAAGTTCTAATAGATGCAGTAGCAGTTATAGATAAGGTATTTTCTATAACCTTATTACTATTTAGATTCTTTATAATAAGGAAAGGTGATGTGGTCTAATATTTGAAATTTTTCTTAATTAGTTGTCGTCTTTTTCCATCAAGCATATTTATAACTTGTCAGATCAAGTATTTACATATTAAGAAATGATTTTCGACAAAGTTAAGACAACTATATATCCAATAAAAAATCTCTGTAAAATATGTACTAGCTTCTTTATTTGTTCTTATATTAGCATGTTTTCTCTTGTTTTTGTTATATTTATTTGTTCGCATCTCTACTCGACACTCATCACTTGCATTCAAATAAATCCATTCACGTTTGAAGTTCTCCCACCAACATGGATTTATTATACTATTTAAAATTTAAAAAAATTTGTCTCTTTGTATTGGTATCACTTTGTTAAATAATATTCAAAATAGAAGGTCTAGTCTAGGATTATTGAATCATTATAAGTAATGTTGTTTAAGAACACTCTAATAGGCTTTGATCTTCATGGTTGTTTTACTTAGAGCTATCATAGATTTAGCTAACCAGGCCTAAAGTTGTCATTAATTAGGTAAATACCAGTTTGTCCAAAGATATGACTATAAAAGATACAATTTATTTATAATACAAAACTAATATACTTTATTTATAGCACTTCTTCTGATGTTTACTAGTGATATGGTGTTTTCTCAAATATTTTTTTATTTTTTATTTTTTTTTTAAAATATTAAGGTGAGTACTTGCGATTCAGGATTTTATTGATAGTACATTTAGCTAATGATTGCATTATAACCACAGGGGGCAACTATGGAAAGAGTGTACAACTAGCCACTCATACAACTTTAGTCATTGTCTAATTTAAGTAGTTCACCCGAAGGTTCTACACT